TGTCAATACTGTCGTCGTAAATAATGAGGTGCTCTTGCATGGAAAATAACTCTAGGTAAGGGAATGAAATAAATGACAACAGACACAAGTGAAGGTAAAGTTTTATTTACACGTTGGCGAATTGACCGGTAGGACGTTGGCGAAGCGACTTAGGACGTTGGCGAACGAGACGTTGGCGAAACGACTCGTTGGCGAAACGACTGGATACCGGATGTATCAGTAATTCAAGATAATGTGTGTTCTGTTCCCGGGGGGGAAGGGGGGTACTTCCAGTTGGGTGGGGGTGTGCGGCCCACTTCCCAAAACCCTTACCCTATTTATGACCAAAATCTGTGTTTTTTGCTATCTTATTTATGACCTGACCAAAAATTCGATAGCCTACTTATGACCGTTGCGACTTATGAAGGGCTTTTGTTGACGGTCTTATTGATAAGGATGAAAAAGTAGCTTCTTCTAAGAAACATACCCAACTCAAGACTAGAGTGCTAAAACCATACCCTATTTATAACCAAAATGGCCAAAATTGAGACCCTTTTTATGACCAAAACGGCTGAAAACCCTACCCTTTGGGCCCGCACATACCTATGTAGCCCATATAAGGGAGTACTCCCCCTGGGTTCTGTTAGTGTTTATTTCAAGGCTATTTAAATAACTGCCTAGAGAAGTAAACATTTTTTCAAGGTTTTTTTTTTACCTTGACCACTGAACTGTTTTATATTGTCATTTTTTTCCTACCATTTCAGTGGTGGATACAGACCTTGAGCTAGCGGGGGAGTGGGGAGTGGGGCAGTTTTGTTTTGCTTGCCCTGCCAGCTTTTTTTTCTTCTGTGATTTCTTCTTTTCGTACCAAAAATAAGCTCCTCCTTCCCCCCCCGCTCCCCCACCACTGCATTTGTAGTACACGATACGCTGCTGCACGTATCTAACAGGTGACTTGCTCTTTTCTGTGAGCCTGTTCTTTTATTTCTAAGTTCAGTAAAACTAGTGATCCATTTTTTATCTATGGGTTCGAACACACATCATAAATGAATCTTAATTATGGATTGTTTTGTACCTGAGTGTGCTCGAAATAGTCCTGTAGAGAATTTCCTATGAGGAAATGTAGTTGAAGTACAGCTCTGCAATGTTCTAAAGACAGAACATCGACACAAGAAAATATTCAGATAAGTAAAAACAGCTAATTGCCCAACTTGTCATTAAATTGGGATGTAATAATTGATAGGGATGAATTGATTACTTGGACTGTGATGTTATCTCAATTGATTACTTTATGAACAGATAAATTGTGTAGAATGTAAACTGTACATACCTTCCATAATTGTACGGCCATGTGGCACATGTTCTTCTGTAAACAGTTGTAACTGGCTAGCCTCTTGGGAAGCTCTCTTAAGAGCTTTTTCCTATCGTCTCCCATGAGGCTAGTACAATCTCAGGTTCCACTACCCTCACCGTCTGCATTTCTCTTCTCCCATATTGAAAAAGATACACCACAGTTGTTTATCGCCTTCGTAAGTTTTTGGACATGTTCTGATTTTTCCACTGATCTTTTTTTGGTAGAGGAAGAGCTCTCCTTGTCATCCCACTGCATTGCATCTTCAATTAATTTTTCTATCAGAATATCTGTGATTCTTAACATCAGATGCAATTCATCCAGAATGATGTGATCCAGTGGGATTACAAGGAGTGGCTTATGGCAACAGCAGTAATTTTCACCACTCTTCTTTGTTGACAACTGGAACATTTCCTGGATTGTGCGCTTAAGTGGTATGGCATCATAGTATCCAGAATCCTTTGACATGTCACCTCTAGTTGGAAATGAAAGTAAAGTAGGCATCCAAACTAATTAAAAATTATGTCTGAGGTTCTCAAAGTAGTAGTTTTAGTTGAAATCAACCAGTTATATTTAGACAAGTTTATAATAATTATCAATTAATTACGTATCCTTCTTGTGTATCTTACACCACAAGCATGCATATATTGAGTTGGCTGCACTTAGCACACCTTGTAATCACTTCCCGGGTAAATATCTTCCGTACTCCGACTTTCTTACCATCAATTTCAATGAAACCATCATCAATGATTTTATTTGCCTCAAGAAATACATCTCTTTATGACTCCTCCAAAGTCTGGTGGCTCTCACTGCCATTTATAACAGCAACAGTGTGATTCCTGTCAAAGAAGGTTATAAATTAAAGATGTATTTTTTAAACTGACACTTATTCAGAGCAATAATATAACCATGCAGTTGTATATTTTTGTACACTTATAATAAATAACCTTTTGATGACAAAATATCATCCACCTGCTGAAGGATTGTGAAACTCAGAAGTGTGAAATTAGTCAGAAGTATGAAATTAGCAGCTTGGATGTTAATACATATTTCAAGTACATCAACAAGGGTGACAATACACCTGTATAACTGGAGGCTGGCTAGAAAACCCTTGGTTACTTCAGTCTCCAGACTCATAGTACACTTTTTTCTTTGTCTTTACATTTCACTGATATAAAAAGCTGTAAATGTATGAGTAAATAAAGTTATTGTATATGACACAACTTAAATTAACATAAAAGATGTTTTGGTTTAATAATTTGGCACACTATTGTATGAAATATTATAATCTCCAGCCATTAAGTACCTTATCATTAGTGTTATCATTTTATTTTTTGTTGTTACACTTTATTTGTTTTCCTATTGTTATAAATAAATGTTGGATCCCTTGCTCAAATCCGCAGGGAACCAGTGTTATTTGTTGTTATCAATTAAGGCAGGAGATGAGCTTGAGTTTTCTCAAACCTTTCTTGTATTTGCTTTAGGGTAAAGTAAAAGTTACAACTATGAGAACCCATTAATGAGTTAATGTGTGTCAATAGCTGGATGGTATCAACAACATTAGTTGAAGCCAGTCCAGTAATGAGTACTTACCATGTCTCTCACTTTGTCAATGAGAGCCTCTTTGAAGGAATACTGAGCTCCAGGTGCCAAACCAGGCGTGGTAGAAATTTTAACTTGTTTATTCAGATCAGATTGACATTGTTTTTTAAATAGGGTTTAACAGGAAAACCACTGACATCTCATGGATAAATTTATAACCAACTCCAAATTTATCCATCTAAAGGTGTATGTGCTCCCCACTGTGTTTTTGTCATCGGGATGAAGTTTTTCACATTTTGATTCTGGGAATGCCACACTACCATGTTCTTGCTATTGATTTTCATTGTTCAGTTCTCTAGTTCTTTCCTTAATTTCTCTAGCACAATCTTTTTCAATTTCTGAAAGCGTTTCTTCAACCAGTTTCTCCCTTTCTTCCTCAAGATTTTCATATTTTGCTCTCTAGTAACAGTTTTCTTCTGGTTCTGCTTTTTCAAGTTTTGACCGAATGAAACGCAGATCTGCTTCCCACTTCTCTACCGAGATCATTTCACTTTTCAAAACAGCCAACCTGCACAATTTTTCCTCGAGCTGTTTTCTGTTCTCACAATTTCCTTTTTTGTTCAGAGTCTGATTTGTGATTAAAGCAGCAGAACAGCAGAACGTTCACTCTCTCGATTGATCTTAAACCCATGGCCAGGAATGATTCCATTTAACATGTCAATGTATGCAATGCCAGGCGTTTCTTTTTTCTTGACAGTTCTACCTAATCAACCAGTCGGGTGGCACAGTAGATGTGCACAATACATGTTCACGAAATATGCCAAATGTTTTCCCTGGAAAGCCAATACTTAGAGACTTTAAAACACTTCTTGCAATAGATATCAGCCGATATAAAGTGTAAGCACGTGGAAAATTTTAAAAAGAGGTGTCAAACTCTGCGAAGCAACATGCAGATGACAGCGGTAACCATGAAGGACGAAGACCTATATGACCTCTAAATCTTTCCAAAAGCACTGTTCGACTTCTCCACTCTACTTCCTACTAATAACACAACTTAAAGTGCCCCTCACAAACACTTGTGAAGCAAAGAAGGGTCGAGAGACCGAAAAGAGAACGGCAAATGTACAAATGTCACGAACCGTAGGAGTCGTGCAGGCCCGTCAACCCCATTTTACACTGGACAGAACACGAGAATACATGCAGAAGCTCAGTTTGAAATTCTCTCCTCCGCTCCTACAACTATTTGATAAATGGATTGCAAGGACATCCTGTCTACGGACTAGACTCTAATGGCAGCTTCTTGCTCCGGTTCTAGATCGATGTGTTTGCCGTTTTGCGAAAGATCTTTCTCAGTGTTTCCTGCACAGAAAATTCGAACGCTTCCTCAGACTCGGCGATATGTATTTTGATCTTGTCGTGTTCCGGATGCCGGATTTCAAAATTCTGATGTCACTTTTTCAGTGACGGGCTACTAACCAATCAAATTTCACTCTTACTCCCCGTTCGTGGGTGAACGGAGTTCGATAAAATGTTTGGGATTGACTGCAGGCGATTCCTTTTCTCCCCGCCCCCTCCCCCTTCTCGCTCATCCCCACCCCACTTCTTCCCAATTTTTTGCTTGCCACTTAGTGCTGTTGTAAGCCATCGTGACGATCCGATCAACATACTATTTTTACTAGTATCCCGAGTTCAAATGATATATATATCTTGAAAAATCATAAAGTAGAAGTTATCTAATGTACATCAAATTAATTCACAGGACAGATTCCTTCTGCGTCTCGAGTATCTGATCGATGCCTACCCAAGCATTCAAATGTTTGGCATCTGTGGATCAATCTCTACTTGTTGTCCACGGAAGCGATGGAAGTGCGGATTATGGATGATAATGGGAACACTGGGAGTAGTTGGAATACTGTTTACAGTCGGAGTTATGAAGAAGTATAATCTGCTCAAGTTTATTCCTTTGCAAAGAGGGGAATGTTACCTGACCAAACAGGAACAAGACGAATTACGTCACATACTGCGTCATCTTGTTACCATATTTGATGATATGAATGTTACATACTGGTTGGACTATGGTACGCTTATTGGTGCCTTTAGAAATGGAGACATCATAAGGTGAATATGTTTTAAAGTCTCTGAACTTCGTCTTTTTTCTTCTTTTCTTTATTTTTCAACCTTCCTATAGGATTTGACTGTAATTATCCTTCATACAGTTGGAACCATTATGGCTAATGTACAGGTGTAAAAAAATTTATTGCAGTGCTTTTTTTTGTAAAATTGGAGAGTAAACAGTAGGGAACTTGAAAAAAAGCCCCACTGCCCAACGTTAAGTCGGTACTTACACAAAGTTTTTGACTCGACAACATTCGTTGGATAGCAATAGGTGCTTTCTATTCAATAAAAAATTCCGATCTGAGTTTCCCGCGGGAACTTCCAGTGACGAATGGAACAGCATTCCAGAATTTTCGGAAAAGAGGACAACCTAGCGATGTATACCGACATTTCCAGAAATTTCTTACCAGGAATTTCCGTTCCATTTGACTTTCCTACCGTAGATTTCGAAATTTTCTGTTGAATGTTTCTCTGTGCGGCAATTCAACATTTTCTGTATTTTCTGGAAGCTTACCCAGGAAATTTCCGTACCATTTATCTCCGCTGCGAAATTTTAGGAATTTTTGGTTGAGTGGAAAGTGGCCAATGTGTTTCCTTATGTTTTTTTTTCTGTCTTTTTTTCCGGGGCTAAAGCTATGACACAGATGGTGATGTTGCATTTCTTATCAATGAGTACTACAAACCAGAAGAAGTCAAATATCGACTAGGGAGATTTGATATCAGTTATGGCCATGGAATATCATATTTCGGTCGTGCCAAGTACGGTGCGATGTGGGTGGACGTGACAAGATGGACAGTGCATGCTGGGAAATTCGATGGGAAGGAGGTGAAACTCTTGGTTAAAGATCTAACCAGTCACGACGAAGAGAATAGAGACTTTGTTGGTAGAAATATGGACGAGAGAGAAAAATTTCCATTGCTATGGATGCAGCCTAGGAGGACTGTAAACTTCCTTAATGTGACTGCTAAAATTCCAAACGAAGCGGAGAAACTCATAAGACATAGATACCCGTACAGCTATAGATTTAATGTGCCGTATAAATTTAAATGTTGGATCTGATGTCCGAGTGTTATCAACTGAAAATACAATTTACGGCAGAGAGCAAAGAATGGCAGGTATTTAGATGTGTATTTGAGGAAGAAACCATGTGCATAAAACTTTCACTGGTCCGATAACTCTAAGGGTACCGGTCAACGTCTGAAGACATCAGGAACTGCAGGGGACTATTCTGTCACTCTCGACGGGGCTTCTGTCAAGTTTTCCACTGTTTTCATCCGCTGTATTCACGTATCTGTGCGTTATGCTTGTTAACCGCCTCACTTTTCAACGAACAGGTTAACTACGAGACAGCCATGGTACATAGGAAACTAGGGATCCTTTCACGAGTGAGACCGCTATTAAGGTTACAGTATACCTTCAGATCGGCAATTTTCTTCAAATTTGGATTTTTGGTTCAAAGTAATGGTCGAAGAGTAATCTCTAATTTCTGAAAACAAAATTGAAAAAAACTCAATATTGGCGGAGAAATGGAGGTTTCACGTTACGGCCGGAAGTAAAAGTTCCCTCTTGATTGACAACCCTATAACGTGTACGCAATCAACCGAGACTACTTTCGCGGGAATATATGGATACCACGAATTGGCTGGCTACTCAGATCCAAGCATTTTTCGTATT